TTGACTTTCTATCTCTTGTGTCGGTTTCGTAACGGTTATATTTTTCATTCCATTTCTTACAAAAATGAGTACCAAACGGGGCCTAAATATTTTTAAAAATAGAAATATTAAATTCTAATAAGTAAACTTTTATAAATGTGTAAAGAATATATATATATATATATTGCACTATAACACCTTAAACTGGCAAGGAAAGTTACAAACGTTTAGCCAATACCAAAATACAGTATAAGAGACTATCTCTTCACAAAGAACCAACATATTTGGCTCGAATCACATAATAAACTGCAGATCTGCTTTCATGAACCCAGAATACCAGTTCTCACAACTATTACATATTTCACTCAAGAAATCACATGTATTCAAGACTAAACTCTCAAAATATCATTTCGAATGAGATGTTAAAAAATAATGACGAATCAGAAAACCCTAGCCACTCAGAGAAGATGAACTCTCTCGAAATGAAAAGGCAGAAGAAAATCTGAGGGTAAACAAATTGTCCAAGTGTATTTATATCACCAAGACCAATTGACTCATCCAACGGTTCGTGATGTGCCAAGTGTTAACATCCAGTGTAAAGATCACTTTATAAAATCGCATTTCCATAAATCGTCTTTAGCAGAAAATTATGAGAGCACAAAGAACCGGGTCCGAGTCACAACACTATATATTCTTTTTCAATCATACATTGATACAATAAGATATTCTACATGTGAATTCAAAACTTTTTCTTACTTTTTAATTATACATTATTCAAAAAAATTACTATTTAAAACAATATTTTTGCAAAAAAGACCGCCAAACAGGGGCTTTACTGATCCATCCCACTGCAATTTTTGCAATTCTTTATTGTATTGAAGTTAGGAACAGAATTTCTATCTTGAATTTCTTGGCCTAAAAAATGAACACTTAAAGAAAAGCTTACTTATCAGTTAAACCAAACAAGTCTATTATATAACGGACGAACATATCAGAGCACAAATCCCTATGCAATTTCACGTGACTTATGTCTGGTGATGCACGCAGGATCAAAAAAGACACAGCAAATTAAGCGTCTGGGCTCCACATTTGCATCCGACCGTCGGATTCTCTTACGTTGCATGATGTGTGGACCAGAGTCTACCGACGCTAATAACGTGCTTTCCGGGACCCACATAACGTGAGCTCTTACTTGCTCGCACGCACGCTGCATGTGACTCCCCCGCGTTTGGCGGCGCGCCGGTGGAATTAAGGCTGTTACGTGGGTAACATTACGTTGGCGCGCCGGTGGATTCAAGCAATATATTAATCCAACAAAAAGATTTACACGACATGTATACATTTTAACTTTTAAGTGATTGAGTAGGGAAATTTTTTAATACAAATATAAATTTAAAACTTCACTTTATTATATTTTCGTTGCAATATGACGAATGTCATTTTTGGTACCCAACTTTGTGAAGGGAAGGTGATGTTTAAAATTTGCTGTTAATGCCTTATTTAAACCAACATTTTTTAATATATATATTTTTTTAAACAGTGATTTAATATTATTTCTATCACACATTTTTCAATTAAAAAATATTAAATACAAATTCAATTTTTTATTTTGATTTTTTAATCATACATTTCTCATCAATACATTATTCAAAAATACATTCTTATGAAAATAATGTAACTCAAACAAGGACTTAATATGTTACGCTATTGGCTATCGTTTTTCGATAAAAAAGACAGTAATAATTAATTAAATTGTTTTCATAAATGTAAATATTTTAGCATGCTCATATGTAATTTTTTCTTCTATATTCAAGTCACATTTTTCTTATAAATGTGCCAAATTTAAATTGCACGAATGGTTCCTAACTTTATTTATTCTAACATTTAAGTGTTCAACTTTTTTTTCTTTGTATTTTTACCCATAATTTTTATCAATTATCACATCTTGTTCCTAATCACTACTTTCGTTCGCTAATTGTTTTAGCGTTCTTTAAAATAAGGGATGAATATTTAGTTACAATGTAGAATTTATTTTATTTTTAATTTCTTGCTTATTTGAAAATACATGGGTTAAATAAGTCTTTTTACTCTTCAAAAAAAATATTTGGACAATATCCTCGTCAGTAACAATGTGCTAATCATCAAGATTTTGAGAATAATAACGTTATGGAAAGTTAAAGACACAACTATAATAACGATGAAAGTTATAGACTTTACCTTTTATTTTATTTTTATCCCACAAATTATGAAAATGAGTCAATTTATAAACGAATATATACATGCATATAATACGGAAAAATAAAGACTTTAGGAATAATATTAAATGGAGAAAATGAACATGGCTAGCTCATAAACATTATTCTTTTAGTCCTATTCATGACTTGGTACGACTACCACCGACAATTATTTGGAAGATATTTTCTTATTAGTTATTGAATTTTTGAAGAAAAACTTTAGTAGGAAGAAAATTTTATGTCAATTATTGAATATCATTTTAATCAAAATGGTGGAGAAACTGACAAAGATACATTAATGCAGACACAAAAATAGCGTGACATATCGAAAATTTTAAATATTTGGAATTTTCATATTTTAATTTATAACCTATCGTTTGTTTAATTTGCACAAACTTAGCCAAACATGACATTTTAATACAGAAATATATAACACATGAAAACATGTTAGCCCCATTACCTGAAAATGAAAATGGGGGGAATGGTATTTTTTAGAAAAATGTGTGGTTGAAAAAGAAAGAAAAGTTTTCGATTTACGTGTAATATTATTTTATGGAAGATTATATGGTTGAAAATAAGAGAAAAATAAATGGAATGTAATGTAATTTAATTTAATGGGGATCAAACGGAGGCTAACAATCCAATTAGTCCTTCTTGATTAAAAAAAAAAAAAAACTCGTAGCAATTTTATTTTCCTCTCTTTAAAGAAAAGGTATGATAAGCACCTCATTTCAAATAAATTATAAATCATTAACGATAATACTATTCTAATATTAATGAAATTTGACGCAAAAAACGAATGTCACGATTTAAGTTGATGATCTTAACGCGTGTATATGGAATTGTTCTATTGAACTTTTCTCTTTGGTGGGAGCCTTCATTATTAAATTTGTGATCGAGTTGTAAAAATCTTTTTAATATGTATCGTGCATTTGAATTGAATTCTTTTTCGTTAATGAAATATTTCTTTCTAAGTGTTGTAGAATAGTTGGAAGACTCTGTACAAAATAATGCGGAATTTTATTTTCAACATGAATCGCATCAAATTTTGAACATGGATTTCATCAATCACTTATTTTGACTAGGTTATTTAAGATTAAAACGAGGCACGATTAATGCCTTGATTAGAGATGCTGAAAATATAAAGTGCACCAAGCTTTAACACAGTCAAAGGGAGTTAGGTTATGTCCAAAATTGGTTTTTAAAAGGGAGAAGTTTTTTCTTGTAAGGAAATGATTCAAAGAGTGCAACCTAAGTAAGTAAAAAGGGGAAGGATGCATGATGCTCAACTTATTGAAATTTCCTTTCAAGTTTGTATATATGTATTGACAATTTAATGTTATTTCGAAATTTTGTCCCTATTTGGTGTCCATAATTTTTAAAAAAAAAAAAAAAAAAAAAAGGAAGCAAAAGAGAGTTTTGAATAGCATTTTTACGAGAATGTCTGGTTAAAAAAAGTGAAAAGTTGGACTTACGTGCAGAACATTTTATTGTATGAATGTGGAGTTGAAAATGATCATGTAACAAAAAGAGTTTTAAAACAATGGGCTTAACTCTATCTCGTCTTAAATTATTTGAAATAATCTTGAATTTTTTTTAAAAAAAAAATCAAATTAAACCTAATTTTGAACTTGTAATCTTTGATGGCTAAGTTCGACCATGTGAACTCAACATGTTGACAATTATTTTATAATATAAAAGCGAATCAACATTCCTATTTTTTTTTTTTTAAAAAAAAGAAAAGTACATTGGAAATACTTTAGAATTGAAGTGTGAGTTAGTACAAGTACATCAAAAGGTTGAGAAAGCAAAGAATCATCCAATGAGGTCCAACACCAATACATCTTTGCAGCTGTTGAGTCATTTTTTATTATCCTAACTTAATGGAACCGTAAATTATAAAAATCTGCTTATAATTAACTTATAAAATTAATTCGTTCAACTATATTGACTTAAATATATTACGTGTATTGAAACTAACTCCAACATTGCGTTATGTTATTTTGACCTAGTAGATGCCAATATCAACAAAATCAGCAGCTAAGTCACAATTTCTCTTTGCCAACTCAACATTTTCATTAGTTGGAATGACAGGTGTAGATGGTGCATTACGATCATCGATTTCTAATTGTACACGCGTAATTACAACTACGATTATAATCAAGAGGGATTGTTCTTTGCTAATTGCCCTAACAGCATTTTAATCGGGTTTGGTCTTAGGTGTCATTTATGAGTTAGCTAAATGTTAATGGGTAAAAAGTCACACTAGAAAACATTATCAACAAGATTGTCATATCATCAACTATGGTTCCAAGTTTTTGTAATTCTCATAGGTTATTGAAGCACCACTGGTAATCATAACCACACTTTCGTCGTTAATCGCATAAGAATATGCGTCAGTGATCACTAATGATATTTTTGTTTGTAGTTAGTTTCCATTCGAAGGACCAACATGTAGTGAAAGCGATCATTTGCCATATTAATTTCTTATTACTATATTTGAAAAGACCCTTGGCAATTTTGAAGATCTCAAATTGCATGTGTAAATATTTCTATTAAGTAGGAATTGGAATTGGACAATTCATAACAAAATCAACTCATTTACCATAGATATACATATCTCAAACATTGGAATGGCGGCTATACATACAGTGTAATCTATATACGCGAATTCATTCAAAGAACAAGCTTGATGTGGGGCCCGTTGAGCGTGTGGGGTGGGGGGTATTGAAGAAGACGACAGTGAAGGTTTGATAGTAAAAGCCAGCTTGCAATGAAGCAAGGGCCTCACCTACCGTTTTCTTTCTTTTTAGCCTCTCTCTAATTCTCAACTTCACACGCCATTTTCAATTCTTTTTACTCTCTTCCTTTTCCTTCTGCTTCTTCATACTATCCTCACTGTTAATGGAGGAATAGTATAGGATTTATTTTTGTCCTTTTGTATTGTGCCTTAAAATTTGTGCTCAATAAAGAGTTACTGTATTCTCCGCTACTGTTCTTGGAGCTTTTAGGCGGGATATATTTTGGGGTTTTGAGCAGAGGTTTGTCTCTGCTACTGTTATCTCTTTAGCACTTCAAAATTGCTTATTTTCTGTGTTTCTTGCTTGGAATCTAATATAAATATTTCTTTGGATCCTTTCTTCTTCGTTTTCATAACAAAAAACTTTGTGGGTTTTCATTACCTTTTTTTTTTTGTTTTGCTTCTTGCAAAATTTTGACATTTCTTGGCCTTTATATGCTCAAGGAAACACAGAGGCTGAGAAATGAGTGTAAAGTTGGAGTCTTTTTTTTTGCTGTATTTGCCATTAATTGAGCAAATACAGTGCTGAACTTAACCCAGAGTCCTAGAGATTTTTTTTTTCCATTTCTCTGTCTCTGAAATGTGAGAATTTTGTTAGAGAAAAGATGGGAAAATTTGAGTCTTTATTGCCCTTTTTTCCTTCCAAATTTTAAGCTACACTTTAGTCACCCAGTTTTTCTGTAACTTGCCATTTCTTGAATATTACAATGTTCTGAACTTCTACTTTTTGTAACTAAACATTTTGAGGAATTTGATTCTTTTCTTGCTATTCTTTAACTTTACTGTTTCACCCCTTTTCTTGCAGAAAAATTACTCAAGTTTGGAGGCCTTGTGCATTTGGTTCTTGAAGTATTTCCCCTTGAAAAAGCACAGACTTCAGGGTTGGCCCCAAACCCAAGAATATTATTTTTATTTTTTATCACATCCATTTATAAAATTGTGTCGGTTTACTCTTAAGCCTTGTGTTCACATTTGCTTTGAATTTCACTCTTTTTTCCTTTAGTTCCTTCATTTTTATCATTAATTTAAAGATTTTTGAATCTCAGATGAAAGTAGTCTTAATTTAGCATACGCGGTGCAAGAATCCAAAATTGCTTTAACAAATTTTTTCATCTTTTTCTGCTAACATGCACGTACTCCCTTTGAGCTGGCAAGCATTGTTATCAGCAAACTTTCTGGTGGCCCCCTACTCCACCTCTTGCGCACGCTAGTATCAAATTCTTATTCATCCATTCATTATCTATCTATTTGTATGCAGATGTTAATATGCTGGCATATAGTATTTTCTTAACTGTAATTCTTTTTTCTTTTCCAGGGAAAAAGTTTCTTAGAATATAGAGTGATGGGGCCTAATTTCATGGATGAAATTGAATGTGGAAACTTCTTTGATCAGATTGATGACTTGATTGAGTTCCCTACTGAAAATGAGTGTGCTGGTAGTAGCGTTGTTGTTGATGGTGATATCAAGGATTTTCCGAGCATTTGGGACAATGTGTTGCCAGATACTGACCCCCTTTCCTCCGGCAGCAATGGTAGTGCTCCATCCGACCTCTCAACTGAGCTTGCTGTTCCGGTGAGTTATACTCTACTGCCATGAAATTTATTTCTCCTCATTTCATTACAAATTAGTCATTTGTTGTGCAAGTGTATAACTTGTTGTATGATCACGAAAGATGATTGCTGCTGTGCAAATTCAAAAGTTTTTGTTGAAGATCATGCTCAAATACCGCCATTTATTGCTCAAACTTAAAATGAGATAGTGAACAATTTAGTTGAGTCTCATTATAGTTGGATTGTTGTTGTGTGAGTTAATTAGCCGAGTCCAAATTTATTTGGAAACAAAGCTTAGATTGTTGTCATGTCATGTCATTATTTGATTTTGTTTGCCAGTTAGGCAGTCGGTGTTAATTAATAGAATTATGCTACTTGTACAATATTTATGTACAACTTGGATTACATTTGAATAGGTGGCAAAATCAAGGTCAATGATTGTTTTATGTGTTGGAGAAATCAATTGTAAAATTGTATGCCACATGGTACAATGTAAAGCAGAATATCAACTAGAATGCATGTGTAGCAAATTTATAATTAATATTGCCATGTTATTGATGATGTTGATTGTCACATTCTTGGCAGGGAAAGGGCTTTTAATAGGTCATATCTGTATGATATCTATGGTAAATTCTGCATTATTGAAACAGTGTGGACATGTTTGGTCGAATTTAGATTAAAATTAAAATTCGAAATTCATATTGTATGGCTTTAGCCAAGTCTAGAAATGCCATGTGCTCAATAAATGCTGATTCTTTCTTTTGTTTTGTTCCCCCAGTATGAAGACATTGTACAGCTAGAATGGCTTTCAGCATTTGTGGAGGATTCCTTCTCGGGTGGAGGGTCGACCTTTGGAAAGGAGAATATGTGCGTTAACACGGAGCCATCACACAACCAGTTCCAAATATCGAGCCCTATTTCTGTACTTGAGAACAGCAGCAGCAGCTCCTGCACTGGGGGGAGGATTATGCCTCTCAGTCCGAGTCACCGGGGTCCACAACGTGCTCGAAGCAAGCGTCCTCGTCCGGCAACTTATAATCCTCGACCTGCAATCCAACTCATTTCCCCTCCGTGTTCTTTCATCGAGACTCCCCGGCCATTTGTTACTCTTGGAGTTTCTTCAGAATCTGAGAACTTTGCAGAGTCTCGACCAATGAATAAGATCCCCAAACTGGCTTCCAGAGTGGAAAAGAAGAAGAAGAAAACCTCACCCGAGGGGAATGAGAATGCTCCAACACAAGCCGTTAGGAAATGCTTGCACTGTGAGATAACAAAGACTCCCCAGTGGAGGGCTGGCCCAACGGGGCCTAAAACACTCTGCAATGCATGTGGCGTCCGCTACAAATCAGGCCGATTGTTCCCCGAATATCGTCCCGCTGCAAGTCCTACATTCAGTCCAACTTTGCACTCGAATTCTCACAAGAAAGTCATCGAAATGAGAACCAAGATTGGGGAACGTTCTGTAGCAAATACCCAAACGGCCACCAAACCAGAGTTCGTGACAAAATGATGCCATTCTATCACAGGTTCTTTCATTTGTTTGTTTATTGGTTCTTTGTACAGTGATGCAATGGGTGGTCAGGAGCACTAGTTTACGATATTTAGCTGAGTAGAAAGGAGATGATGCTAAGAGAATCAGAAATGGTTAGAGAGATTACAATGGAGTGTTTAGGTCTTATTATAGCTTCGTGGTCAGTGTTCTTTTATTTCCCTCTTTTGGGGATTCCTTTTGCAGTTAATTTGTTGTAGGAATTTCTTTAATTAGTAATGAGATTGAATTAGTACTTCTTGAATGGTTCTCTTGTTATTTGATGGAAAGGTATGGTTTCAACGTAGCATTAGTTGACAGTTGGGCTGAGACAACGGTTGTGCTATGTGTACATGATTTACATACATACGATGTGATGAAATATGATTAAATTAGAATTTCTTCAACCAAATTAAAATAAAAAAATAATAATAATAAAAAATTCTCCAATCTTCTTTTGATACATCACTTGTATGCAAATTATTATGTACAAGTAGCATTATTTTCAAGACATATCTAGATATAGATAGATTTTACAAATTCCCGTGTTCTCGTACTTCTTTCTTTCACATTCTTTGTTTTCTCTACTATTTATTATTATTCTAATAGCAATATTTAGGGGTGGACAAAATGTCAAAATCGAACCGAACCAAACCAAACTTCTATCAAAAAATAAAATAAAAAATAATCATTTTGATTCTTTGAATTAAGAACCATTTGATTTTGGTTCTGGTTCAGTTCTAGTTCAAGAATCAAGAACCAGAATCAAAATCAAACTTAATGATTAATTTTTTATATATTAATCAATGAAGACTCTAATTTTATATTCATTGGAAATAGCCTATTAATTGGATAGAGGCCGTTAATTGATTTTAGGTCATTGAAGTCAGACAGTTCATTAGTTGTGTATACCCTAATTTTGTATTCATTTGAATTATTTTTCCTTCACTTCTTTTCAATTTACACAATGTCGCGACATGTTGGAACTTCATTTCATCTAATCAGTGGAGTCTCTTTTAAGATCAGAAAATGAAATTGGTCAGTTACTTCAAAAGTCTTATATATATTACTTTAATTATTTGATGAGTTATTTGTATTCTTTACAAATAGATGAAACTCCATTAAGCATTTATGGAGTATTAAATGGTTAATGTTGACTATAAAAGTGAACTGTAAAAATTGTGCATAATTCATTCTTTATTGTAGGGGCATGCCTTCAAAATTGTTGCAATTAATTCAATGAATCATTCCTATTACTTATTAAATAATTTTTGTGTAAGAAAATGAAAATTGATTTGTGTATTTAAATTATGACTATATTCTATTTGTTAGTTTGGACCCTTTTTTTTTTTGTTTAATCTTGATGATTGAATTTTGATCTTGTTGAATGTGATGTTTATTTTATTTTATTTTTTAATTTAGGTATATATTACTAACTTATATGATGCAAATCTGAAAATTTAAGATATGAAACCCAAATGAAATCGATCCGCCATTTGGTTCGATTTGATTCTATTCGAATCAAAACCAAATAGAACCACGTCTACCTCTAACAATATATTTAACTGAGAAAATTACACCCTCCCAGGACTTTCAAGTTCACTGTGCATAAATCATGGGCTCAACTATTCTAGTCAAATGTCCGGTATTAGACTAATTAAAAAAAGCTACTTATTTAAAATAAGCGCGGTTCCATAGTTAACGTGCTTCAAATCTAATATTTCTTCATTCTCTATCAAACGAGTGAAACTGCCCTCAAACTTCTCCCCACGATCTCTGATAAACTACTCTGGCAGTTACCAACTCCACGAATATCTCTGGTTAGTTATCCCACTCCAGCCTGTCAAGGAACTAATCTTCGTCACATACCCAAAGCGAGTTGAGTACATTCTTCGTCTACACTGTCACTCTGTAAAAAAACTTTCCATTTTACGGTCGACAAAAAAATGACTAAACCCAAGGTGATAAACATCCATTCTACGCTATAAAGGAGAGGAAAGAGGAAGCATGAGGAAAGCCCAACGAAATCCCATATGGAAAAGTATGCGGCGTCGTCTGTGACCTTGCGGAAAGTCCAATCGAACACGATATGTTGATTTTTATGTTATGTTAATACATTAAGTGACGGGTATTAATTGAATAATCGTTGGGTGACATGTATTGAAGACGTATTGAAGATCTATGATCTCGAAATCTGTTGAATTCGTTTCGTAGTTGGAATGGGGTAGGGTTTGCAACTTTGAACGCATAATGTTCGTTCATTTGATTTTTCGTTTTTGGTATTACGAATAATCTGTTGTCTATTCACGAATACACATATATTGGGAATCTGTGACGTAAATGCATATGGATATGATTGCCTGTGACCTTACTGTAATGGGGATAGGGCTCTGAATGTGATCTTAATATGTGAATGAGACTCAAGTTTGTTGTGAATATGTGACCTGACTGAAAAAATTTTGTATGCCTGTGACCTGACTGTTAACATGGTTGATGATGTGTCTTTAGTAATATGATGTCCATGTGTGACCATTTCACCTATATGTGACCAAGTATTCTCAATGCAAAGACACTCACATGTACAATTACTACTTTCCATCACAGTTGTGGTTCTAATTGTTGAAGACCAAACCAAAGTTAAAAACGAATGAAAAATATATGTCTAGTAATATGCCTGTGAATGAGAAAACTTTGTATGCCTGTGAGTTGACTGTTAACATGGTTGATGATGTGCTTTAGTAATATGATGTCCATATGTGACCATTTCACATATATGTGACCTGAATTTAACCTATATGCGACCATTTATACCTAAATGCATTTCCTTTTCTCTGTCTCTGAATTATAATACAGGTACTTAACAATTTTATTATTATTAACGCTTTATGTAGGTCTGGCAATTCAAAATACCTGAAAAAAGTTGGTTTCTTGGCAAGATTACCACCTCTGTGTATAAAGGTGTTCTCACCACTATACAATCAAAGTTAAGCCAAAGCCAAAAATAGATATTGAGGGGCACATGCTTTGCCCACTTCTTGGATTGTCATGAAATAGTGATTCAACCACAGTTGATTCACTACTTCCTTCTGAGGCAAGTTCAGCACACGAATGAGGAAAAAATATGGTTATGTCTCCGGGCGATACGTCAAGTTTTCTATATCTGAGTTCTGTTTGGTCACATGACTGAAATGTTCAGGCGATATAGATACTCAGGTTTTTGAAAATAGACAGTCAAAGTTGAAGGCCAAATACTTTTCACAAGTAGATGCTGTCACACATGAAGATGTAAAGGACACAATTCTGTCTGCATACCAAATGCCTGACCTCGATATGATTGAAGCCCTACCAAACAATGACATTGCAATGTTTGGGGTTTTATATTTCCTCTCTGCCTATCTCTTTCCACGTGACTACAAGAAGGTTGTTGACCACTTCCTATTTGTTATCGCTGAGGACTTTAATGAAATGAACAATTTTTCATGGGGCAAGCTACTATTCCAAATTACTCTGGGTGCATTCAGAGATGGACGCGGCAGGAGGACCCCACACTACAGGCCACGAGGAATGCTTGTAGCCTTCAAGCATGGATATACAAGACTTTTCCCAGTCTTGATGGCATCGTGGTTACAAGGATATCGAGGGTGCATCACCGCATTGTAAACTGGATGGTAGATGAGCGACCATCAGCTGCCAAATTGGAAGGACCCGACTGCTTCTCCAATCCTAAGGTAAAGTTCCAGTAAGCGTCATGTAATCAATATCGAATTTTTGACTTTGCATTCATATAAACTACATATTGTATTGCAAATTGTGATTTGTGACTTGGAACCGTTGGAAAGTGAAATGGCGATGCCAGACATGAACGGAGTCTAGTACACAAGTCAGTCCAACCGACGTCCTCATCCGAGAACCGAAGAAGAACCAAGCACATGACGGAGACGTCTGTTGAAGATGCAAATACTAGCGAAAAGTCCATTCCATCAGTCCTGTCGTTGATGGACAGTAATATTGGACAAACTCACTCTTCAGATTATGACGACGATTTTGTTGCTCCTCCTCCAAGACGGCAGGAGCCATCCGCCTATGAAAAATCCCCCTTTGTTGAAGGTCCAACAGTCGCTCATCATTCTCAAGAGGAGCCACAATCTCATAGGGCACAATGGGATGACGTAAGTTATTATGTTAATCAGCTCTCAATATTTTCGTCATTGGTCACACATCAATATTTCCTATGTCACATTTCATACACATCAGGTCATAGATATACCAGTGTGCATTGTATGTTGATGGTTGGTCAAAGATATTTCGCAAGCAACATATAATAATTAGTTATTCATTTTTGTCAGGCTTTTGAGGTGTTGCGTGTGCAAGTATCCGAACTCCAGGCGGATAATAAAGTGTTGAAGGCGGAGCTGTGTCATCCTTGAACGAAGGAAAGACTAACAAAATGGATGACATTGTTCAAATGCAAGCCTGTATTAAAAGTGATCTAATGGATATTCGAACGAACATGCAGTTTCTATCTGAGTCTGTGTCAATAATGATATCCAGTGCAATGGACGAGATCATTAGATGATCTAGTGAGAGGACAAGCGACCGTGGAGTAGGACAAAAAGAAGCTCCTAGAGTTGGAGATCAAGAACATCATGGGGCTGGTTTATCTGACAAGGCTTAGGGGTAGTCACTTGATATATTTCACATTTCTGTAAAAGAATATAGTTTATTATTTCCTATTCAACATGTAGGTGAAAAACGTAGTATCAAACGTCAACAGAAAAGGGAAGAGCAAAATGGACCCAAGTGATGATCTTCTCTTCTCCCTTGAGCCACCATCATTTGATTTGAGGATTGAATTCACCCCCATCCAATGTTTTGCATTCGAAGGAAACTCAGAAGAGGGTAGATTCCATCATATCTGATGTGGTCACTGCAACAAAAACTGTAGAGAATGAGGTATTTACATGTTCCAGTAGTTGTAGATCTCAAATCAAACATACCTCCAAACCATGTTATATTATTAGATCACAGATCACACACACTTCAGATTATGTTTTATTCATAGGTTACATTTCACAGACATTTCAAACCATGTCCCTTTCATAAGTCACAGATCACACACAATACTAACACATGTTCCAGTCATGGATCACATAGCACAGATACCTTCAAACCATGTCTCATTCATAGGTCACAGACATAATTCCAAACCATGTCACATTCTCAGGTAACAGATCACAGATTCCTTCAGCCCATGTCCTATTCATATGTCACAGATAACATACATTCCAAACCATGTTATATTAATGGGTCACATGCCACACACCCTTCCAAACTATCTTCAAATCATATGTTACAGGTCACAGACACATTCAGACCAGGTCACATGTATAGGTGATAGACAACACATGCTTACAAACTATTCCACAGACAGCTCATGTGCCGTATTTTCAATCAATTTGCAACCTACTACAATAACATACAGGGATCACCTATTGCTGAACCAACCTCGGAATTACCAGTTAAGCGGGTTTTAAGGCCAGCAAGGGTATTGCAGTCTCCTTTCGTTGCCAGACAGGAGAGGGGGAAATTATTTAAGCACGATGATAATATTGTCATTTTTGAGGATTACAAAGACAATGTTGACGAAGTTGACAAATCGGCCATCATGGGTTGGTCTCAGAGGGGGTATAAACCAAAAAATAAGTAAGTGCATTTCGTACCTATTTGTGAAAAATTACTCAATACACAGTTTTGACAAAAGAATGTAACATTTAGTGTTGGTCACAGGAAAAAATTTAGCGAGGAAGACGACGCCATCAAGCCTGCTTGTCTAATTGGTTCATTCCCAGTAGGTCATATGAGTTGGTTCCACGAGCCTATAAATTCAGAGTCATCACTGAGTGATGCAGTACGATTACGTTTACACACTCAATTAAATTACATTACACTTTTTAGAATTTCGATTTCTTTCATACCTATTAAGAAGAGTATCAGAGATGATACAAATAGGTCACATTTCATATTGGAACTAGTCACAGATTCATTCATATACAATCTGTTGTACGCAATGCTTACATCTTTTCTTCTCATTGAAACAACATATGGATGCTTGCTTCTACTTCATTCGCCAGGTAGCAAAATTTGGCAAAAATGTTAAATACAAAGCCACCACCACAAACTCATGGTTCTAGATTAAAATAAAAGACATTTTTCCTGCCTTCATGAAGGACCCAAATGTTTTAATGTCAGAGTCGAGCCTGACAGGTCACAACCTCCCTTTTAACTCACCCTGGGCCGATTTGACTATGTGTTCATGCCGATCATACCCACCAACAAAGCACATTGGATGCTTAGCCAATTACAATTCAAAAGTCATACCTTGATTGTGTTCAACTCGGTAGGTGACTGGAAGGTTTTGCAAGGTATTGAGACGTACATTAAGGTATTGCCTGCTCTAATGAATACTCTGAGAATTTCAAAGAAGGATCCTGATTATCACGAACTAGAAGCCAAAGAATTGAAGGTGATCATCGACGACACACTCCCTCAGCAAACAAATGGGTAAGTCTATGACCAAGATTTACAATACGTATATCCTTTTGATGGATTCATTCATAATAGTCTGTCACATGTTCTGCAGTCATGATTATAGGATATTCGTGGTGTTATATACGTTGTATCTTATCCGTGGTGGTAGATGTTCCGTTCCCAAGAAGTTTGATGCCAGCAAGTTCAGAATGGATATTGCTACGCTACTCTACAAACACCGACAGGTTTACACGAAAAGAGTAAATCAGCCTATGATGGAGGAAGCACTTGTCATAGAATGAAAACTGGCTTTAGATTTGTTAGTGAGGACAAGAATTTAGTTTGTAAATGTTATGAACATTGTATGTGTCTAGTCAATAGAGGTTCATGTAATGAATAATAACTCGTAACCTTTGATTTGCAATAAAGGATATTAAAGTGTTTACGTTCATGATTCATCCATCTTCGATTACATTTTAATGCTATTTTTATATATATGGTGTAAATTATACAAGTTCTATATTTCTAACAACGTCACGTAGTCGGTGAAACATGTCATGTGGTACAGCAAATAGGTCACAATTGGTTTCTCAACTTGGTCACAAATTTACATATCACGTCACACATACCTTTCACACGGCACGTGACATGTCACAGCACATGGGTTACAGATATTAGGATTCATGTTACCCATATGTGTCCACACCTCAGGTCACATATTCTCATTTCAGGTTATATATTCACAAATCAGTTAAATTTTTCATACGGCATGTCACACATCACAGGTCACAGCACACAAGTCACAGATCTGGTATCATGTTACAGATGTGATCCAAATCTCAGAGAATTATTATTCTGACTCCAAAGTTGACAGACAATTAACTGTTAGTTGATCAATCTGAATGCATTCTTTAAAGAGACTATTTCCAATGAACATTATCCTTAAAAGAATATCACATATCTATGAAATATTTGTATGTAATTATATTGGTCATTTTAGTGTAATGGGGTCAAGTTGGCGCACTACAACGTCCGCATTTTGCCGTCGGTCTCCCTTCTCTAGATGATCTCTTTCTTTTCTCTGTAGGTCTTCCACAACTCCTCTTCTGGTTAGGAGGTAACACTATTTCTCGCTATACTTCTCCCGGCACTATCCATTCCTCTTGATTTCCAATAGGATATACAGAATCTTGGTACGCATTCAAGTACGCATCTTTTGTGTAATAATAAGAACAGTAATCATATGGATCTCTTTTTGTGTTTGTAATCCTATAAGTGCACGTTCGTTGCTCAATATCGACGACAAACGTTGACCTTTCGTTGCTAACTGAAAATACTATCTGCTTTGAAGGAGATACATGCATACATGTAACAATAGTCAGGTCACATATAGTTGTATACAGGTCACATATACTCCAACGTGTCGGTCACACATGAATGACTCATATCCTTGAGTTCATTTACAAATTCAGGAAGTATGTTACACATGTGGTCCAAACCTCACTTGGTAGACAGACATGCATCAGAATACAGAGTTGACAGAGAGTACACAATTACATCACATACAACATCACATAGGTCACAGATTTAGATATCAGGTTACACAAATTTGTTCCATTTACAGATAGCTATGAAACAGAATACAGAGTTCCAAACTTAGTTTACCAACCAGGTCACAAAATAGGTTACATATCAGATTTGTTACATTACAGTTCAAGATACTGACCTTTACGATGGGTCACATATACATCAGAATGTTAAAATATAGAAAATTGCCCTCAAGTTCCTCAAATCCATGCTCATTTTCCTAATCTCTTTCTTGTACTTGTTCGACAACTTTGTGAAAGTTCCATGGACATAATCTCTGTGTTTACAAAACCACGATTGTATAGTTTGCCGTAATGACACTAGCAAGGATACAATAGGATAATTATTGGCTGCCTTCGTGACCGTGTTGACCGATTCCACAATGTTTGATGTCATTGTAGAATATCTGTATGTTGCCATATGTATTCGTGACCACTTTTCAGGTCCAACATCAGCCTGCAAACATAAATCAATTCGATGAACATCATATAAATACCATATGTGACCATTTATATGTATGTGGAATGAAAAAAGACGTAGTACACTACCAGGTATGAAATAATCTTCTCATTCATCATTGTCAGCAGAGACATGTTATAATCATATTCTTCCAGCGTGTAAGCGCGAACAACCGAATTGAATGCTTGTATAATGTTTTGGTCTGACTTTCCATAATATGATTTTAGATTTTACAGCAAACGATAAGAACAAATACCGTACAAGCTTCCGGATACACATGTTCTATTGCATTCTTTATACTTGGGTGACGGTCCGACACAAAACACAGTCCTTCTCTATTTCCATACGCCTTCTTCAACTTATTGAAAAACTATCTCCAAGATTTGTCGATCTCATTGTCTCCAAATCCAAAAGTAAGAACGAATATGCTATTATTTACATCTTGTGTACATCCTGTGAAAAGGGTACCTCCATATTTACCATTCAAGTATGTACCATCAACAATATTCACCAGTCTACAATGCTCTTATCCCCGTATTGATGCACCTAGTGCCATAAAGCAATATCTGAATTTACTATGACTATCAACCTCTATTTCTGTGACCGTATCAGGATTTTTATGTCGGAGCATGTAGAACAAGCTTGGCAACTTACCAAATGACTCTGCTGGGTCACCCCTAATCATTTTCAAAGTTTGCTCGCGAGATCTCCAAACTTTCGAATAACTCAAATAAACCCCATAAGTATTCAACATGTTACTGCATATGTCCTTTGGTGTATATATAGTACGGGACGATGTATACTTGTACTTAATTGTAGATGACACAACCTTAGATGACACTTGCCTATGTGATCCTAATACTACATTTGATGCACATGTGTGACTACCAATCTTTCGAATCTTAAATAGATCTGTTTTGCCCCGTATCGACGATCTACATATCCAACTACATCCACCATTCGAACACCTCACAACATATTCTCTCTTGTCGGACCGTTCAACCATAAACTCAAACATGCTCTATATGGCAAAAAACGACAAGCTCATTTTTAAAACATTCTTATCACGAAACACTATTCCTTCTTTTACCTCTCTAGCACTTGCAATAGACACAATTGTGACTTCAGTGTCACAAATGTGACCCATTTCTTCATTTGATGCTTCGCATATGTTTGATGCCATGTCTTGCAATGTAAACATCTCACCGCTGGAATGCACATTGATTGACACTGTGATGGAGGTATTATCTATTTCTGCCTCAGCAACGTCAACGATTATCGGATATTTAGTAGGTTCATGCTCCATGTCCTTTAGTAGAATGTATTATAGCACATTATTGTCATTTTTATCCTGATGGAAGACAAATCTTTCTTCAGTATGTACTTCAATGACACCGCTACCTTCGCAGGATCCAGAGCAAATTCTCTCATAATTGTGTCCACAAGGGTTAAATAACTGCAGTTGCGAGCTACCAATACCAATGAGGATTGCGATCCATACAATAAACATACGTGCAAGTACACCATTTTGCAAATTACAATTAATATCAATAATTTCATCATAGGTGAAATATGTCACATGTCACACTGCACAACAATGAGGTCACAAATTAGCAAACCAGGTTACAGAGAGTTATGGATAAGACAATCACAAGACGGGTCACAGATTGGTATCATTCAGACTACAGAGTTGACGGGGAGGTCACATATGCTCGAAACGAATGATGAAATGTTTGATTTTACATTCTCGCATAGTCGACAAAACATGTCACATTAGATAGGTTACAGTTTCACAAAGCAAGCCACACATTACCAATTAGGGTTACAGAGCCAAAAATCAGGTTACATATGACTTTTCCTACATTGTTACACAGTGGTCACATGTTCTCGAAGTGGATAACGACATGTTTGATGCTAAATACATGGACATAGTTGCTGAAACACTTCACATTTCATAGTAGAGAGGTTACAGTTTCACAGATCAGGTCACATTTACACAAACAGTTCACGTATGTGTCACAGGCGTCTATTGCGATTCTACTGAATAGCAATCTGTGACGAGAAACCAGTTAACGACGATATGAGCAGCTATGACCCATAAGTTAGATATTATACTAATTTCGTGACGAACGACATTCGTGATTGTTGATTTCAAGTTGTGATCGCAGCAAAATACACGGTTACCTGTATTATATTAGCCAGGGACGATTAGCACTTCCGTGGTCAGCAATGATTTCTCATCCCCTGCAACTATGAGTTTAGGACCAATTTGTGTTACGGAATTCAATTTGGAATGTGGCATTCGAATCGACGAACATAACATTCATACTATTACCTGGATTGGCTTCTCCGATAATTATTTCCTTTTTATGGAATCGACACCGATCTCTATGACCCAATAGAGGAATGAAATCGACCAATTTTTAGTAAAATCAATCGGCAACATCAATTTCGTTGCAGTGCATAATGAAATCCAACGGATTTTTTCCCTATTTAACTTGAGCTTTTCTCAACGTTGGATCTCTAGTCCACACATGGGCCTCAGAATGTGGCCCACGTAGGATCTCTAGTCCTCAAAGTGCATGGCTAGCCCTTGAAAAGCCAAGGACTCGTTAATGCTTTTCCATTTTTCTCTAAAGATTTGCAACATTGAAAACTGAGGAATGAAGTTTATTGATTTCAAATAAAAAATACTCACGAACTAAGGCATTTTTTTAAGTACATAAAAGGTCAACAATACTTATAGTCTTAGACGAACCACCAGCCAATAAATACCAAGGCCAGGCAATGAGTAGAGTAGAGCCCTCGTTATCACACACTTTCCATGCAACAATTTTATCATATCCAATACAATGCTGCATTCTTGACGCACAAAACCCAGTTGGTAAATTATAATGTCTTTTTCCTTTTTGTACCAAGTGAAACGACCCTAATTGGTAAAAATTGTCCACTGGATTGAAAATATCATTTTGGTCCCTTGCGTAAATAATTTTGATATGGCATTTTCACTATATATATGTATATATCACCAAACGTTGTATTAAAACAATACTCTATAATCCACCCCAATCCTCCCTAATTATATCCTTCTCGATTAAATCCCTTAATCAAATAGAGCGCACCGTAATGCTTCTATAAACTTTTACATTTTACTTTTCAATAAAAGAAAACGGTTTTAATAGTATTTCTCATCTTATTTTGAAATAAGTACCTTTGTTTTTCAGTTTTCACTAATAAAATAATTTAATTTTCAATTTGATTTGGTTAGTCGATTTGGACTTTGAGTTCAAATTGAATTTTAAAAAAAAAATTATCTAAGTTTTGGGCTCACTTAGATTACAATAACTAAAATAAATAAAAAAAACTTTATATTACAATAGCTATTACTAACAAATAGAATCAGTTAATAAAGACAAATTAACAGAAAATTTAAGAATTTTGTTGCTTTTTCATGTATTAGGTAGTCTGACTGCCTGAGTAGGAAAAATGTTAAGTATAACATAACGAACTTGTGAAAGGAAATTTTCAGTGGTATTATTAAAGCGGTAAATAGATTGGATTTTGATCCAAATCTGATGAAAATAATGGGAGATGGATTTAAAGTCTCAGTTCGATAACCAGATGAAGATTCGAATTCGATAATCTGTTAACTAAATGAAATAAATATGGATATATGTCAGTCCGATCTGATAACTAAATGAATTGGGTAAGATATTTGGACAATTTAATTCTTGGCTTAGAAGTTGACTAATATAAAATTTTTATCTTTTCAATTTTTTAAATTTTGGATAGGATTATCGGATCGGATATTTGATAACATGGTAAATCGGATATGGATTAAACAATCAAATATTCGTCGGATTATTGAATCTCCCAAAATTCGATCCATATTCAATCACTGGCAATCTCATAAATCGAAGAGAATCGAGATATAGTTATGAGATTATAATTTATATTTCTTTAAAAAAATTGATCATGTAAGTGAATTAGGTTGGGTTGGTTAGGCTAACTGGCGGTTTGAGACTTTGAATCATGACTATACCACCCACCATGATTTTGTTTAAAAAAAAAATCACATCGAATCAAACCAAACCCATTATGTGCGTCAAATCGATCCAAATCGACTCAACATGTTCAAAGCTCCATTCGTAGTGGGAAAAGGGAAGAGAAAATTTTATAGAGACAGAACAAAATCAGGAAAATGAGCAGACCGATATATCTTTATAGGAAGATTAGCATGTTTGGCACATTGCACTAAATACCATTGTAGAAAAATCGTAGCATGTTTTTGACATGAATTTTGGGTCAACAAACTTACTTGAAATGATGAATTTCAATATTTTTGTGTGGTTGAATCACCTTAATTTCAAATCTCCCAAATTTGCATTTTCTTGTGCTCCAATGGTCCAAATCTCGATCACAATGGAAGGGGATTATTATCCACAATTTAAGTGTCATTTCTTGTGAGATTTCATGCCAAAAATGTGGTTCTAGGGGCCTTTCAATTTTCGTGTGATTTTTCATACGAATTTTCACCATATTTTTCATACTACCTTCTTGTTCCTTTTTCCACAATTTCTATATGAAAGTTTCAAGCGGTTACTTGGGAGTAATAGATTTGAATTTAGAATTCAAACCACTCTCTCCAACCCTTTTAAAATCCTGCGGGTCGGGTCACCCCACATGAGCGACTCATTATCTGTATTTTCCAACATCTCTCACTCGCATATGATGGGGTTGATCCGAACCACAAGTGACAACAAATGTCACACCTTGGATCCTTCTCAAGATCTATCTCACAAAGATTCATACGACAAATAGATCATGCGACCAACGAGTAATATTAGAACTCACGGTACTATAAACCTGTTAGGATATATAGTAGCTCTACTAGAGGAGGAACATCACATCTCGCTATACCCAAACTCATTTTTCAACATTAATTCAAGTATTTCCGATCCTTCGAGTATTTGTGAAGCATACTTGAACCCCGCATCATATCATTATATTCACAATTGCATTCTATACCTCAAATGGTTAAATACAACATAAATGTTGGTCAAAATAGTTTTCCTTTCCTACTTGAATCTTTCAATTTTAAATCAGCTGCTTTCCTAGACATGCCCCATCAAACCGAATCAATAATAGTCATTGGCAATATGCCAAAGTAGCAACACTAAAATAAAACCTTAATAAACAGTCAAAAGTCATAAGGATATATATGAGGTTACATAAACCCTAGGGTCTCACACAATGAGGAAGCAGGGATCCATTCACTCATTTACCCAATATTAATCGTAAAAGCACACGCAATATGAAACACGAGCTACGAAGTTTTCTCCTTTTCTTCGGGCGTATGTTATATTCTTTAAAAACAAATAATATCATACAGATCCTAGTTCAAGTATTCCTCAATACCTAACTTGAGTTCTCCTCATGTTCATCCCTTCAAGCATTCTTAAATCGAGAACTTG